ATATATATATATATATATATATATATATATATATACACTCTACTCAGTAAGTCATCAATTAAAAGAAATAATGACATTTGTTAGTAAATGAATGGAACTGGAATATGTCCCACTAAGTGAAAGTAAATATCCTGCTCAGACTCAAAAAGTCAAGGCTGAATATTTTCCCTTATATTAATAAGGTAGATGAATATAAAGGGAAATGGAGGGTTCCCTAAAAACAGAAGAGAGGTAGTGGAGTCAAGGAAGGAGATTAGGAGGGATGGAGGGACTGCTAGAGGAAGTGTGGTGAAATGAATCTGAACAAATTTTCCTTTGTACACTTAGGAATATATCACACTGAATTTGACCTTTATATATATCAATGATGCACTAAATAAAAAAAAAACTACAAATAAATATAAGAAAGAACAGTGGAGTAGAAGAGAGATAACAGAGGTAGGGAAGGGAGAGTACTGGGGATCAAACTGGAAAATTGTATACCATGCTTGTATGATTATTTAAAATGAACCTCAATATTATATATGAAATAATGATCTAGTTAATAAAAAGAAGCAAACAGTGAGTAAAACTATAGAAATTGCATGGACACTTGAAGAATGAATAATACAGTTGCATAATCAAAGGGTCACTAATGAAATTGGGGGGGGGAGTTTTAAATAAACCTGAGAACCACATGAGAATCAAAACACAACATCTATATATTTATGGGTTAAAGTAAAAGCAGATCTTTTGTTGTTTTTTTTTTTATTATTTTATTGAGACAATATATGATAGTGGGGTTCATTATAACTTATACAGAAATACATATAACATATTCTGACAAATCTTACTGCCCAGTACATTTTCTATCCCTTCTGATATCCCTCCCCTAATCCACCAAAAGCAGTTGTATGAGGGCAGTTTATTCTAAGGGCTACCTCCATTTAAAAATCTGAGATATTTCAATTTAAAAACCTCATGATGCATCCCAAGTTCTAAGAAAAACTTCAGTAAATGAATTCTAAAACTAATAAAAGAAAAGAATTAATTAAAGTCAGAGCCAAAATTATAAAATAGATATTTTTTTTAAAAAAAACATAGTAATAATGAAACAAATAGTTTGTTGTTAAAATGGTAAATAAAAATTGATAAACCCTTGTCCAAGGGAACTAAAAGAAAAAAGAAGATACAGATGAATAAAGCTAGAAACAAAAAGTGAAATATTAAAACAGATACCACTGAAATCCAGAAGATTTCTAGAGACTATTAGAAAACTTATATTTCAATGAATGGGAAAAATCTAGACTATTTTAAGGAATAAAATTGAAAGATAAATAAATCTAAGTGATATTAATGAAATATGTCATAAAATGTTGAATCAAATGGATAGAGAAAAACATAGCTCAATAACAAGCAATTAAGTTGAAGCAATAATAAAAAGCCTTATGGACCAGAGGTTTAGAGGTGAATACATGGCTAAATTTTATCAGATATTTAAAGAAGAACTGACATTAATCCCCTATTACATTTAAGAGTAAAGGAATGCTGCTTCCAAAGCAATTCTGCAAAGTATTACCCTGACTGGAAAAGTGAATATTGGACAGAACAAGGAAAAAACTAGATATCAATATCCTTGAGGAACATAGTATAAAAATTCTCATAAAATCTTTGCAAACCACATTCAACAACACATTACAAAATAACATAAGTATCAGGCATAGTGGTATAGGTCTATACTCTCAGAAAAACATCAGGTTTTTTGAGGAACCCTGTAATTTCAAAGCCAGCCTGGGAAATTTAGTGAGACCTGTTATCAAAGTGAACAATAAAAGGTGCTGGGGATGTGGATCCTTTGTACCATGCTCCTGATTTAAGACTCTAATCACATACAAAAAATATCCATAAAAGCTGATTTTGCTCCAGGATGATTCAATACATGTAAATCAATAAAACTAATACACCACATATAGAATCAAGAGTAAAATTACATGATATTTTAAGAAGCCGCAGGAAAAGCCTATGACAAATTCAGTGGCCCTCATGACAAAGCCCTGAGACATCAGAAATAGGAGCATTTTTTTAAAAGATAATAAAGACCAAGTATATCAAATCCAAAGCCAATAGTAAAATGAAGAACATTTTCTCTAAAATCAGGAAACACACAAGGATGTTCATTGCCACCAATCTCACTAATCACAGTATTTAATTTTTTTTTAAAAAAAAGAAAAAGAAATAAAATGGACTCAAATAGGAAAGTTAAAATGTTAAATTATTTCTATATGCAAATGATTTGGTCCTAGACTTTGAAGAACATAAATAATATATTATGAAAATTCTACTTTGATGAATGAATTCATCAGAGTAACAGGATACAAAATAAACATATAAAAATAAACTGTTTGTCTATATACCATAGCAAACCTAGAGAGAATGAAGCAAGAGTAATAGCTCATTCAAATAACTTTAAAAATAGCTAGGAATAACCCTAAACAAGAAAGTGAATGACCTCTTCAAGAAAAATTACACATTGATGAAAAAGGAAAATAATAAAACAATAGGAAGTAAAAAAGATTTGCTATGTTCATAGAGAAGCAGAATTAATATTGTGAAAATGGGCATAGTACCATAAATGAATTATAGATTCCATGTATTCCTATTCAAATTCAAATGGTATTGTTCAAAGAAATGGGGGGAAAATAACTACTTCTAAGTTTGTATGGAAGAAAAACAAACAAAAAATACTTAGACAAAGTGATACTTATCATAAGAGAAACAATGGATAAACCACAATGCCCAATTTCAAAATATAAAACAGAGCCATATTAATAAAAACCATGGTCCTGGTGTAAAGAAAGACCCATAGACCAATGGATAGAAGAGAAGTCAGAGAGCAAACCCACACAGATACAGTCATGTGATACCAGGCAAAGACACCAAAAACATATTTTGGAGAAAAGACGAATGACTTTTTAGAAATAGTGTTGGAAAAACTAGGTATCCATATGTAAAAAAGAAACCTAGATGCCTATTTTCTAACACTGTACAAGAGATTATTCAGAAAGGACTAAAGACATATGTACCAGACTAGAAGGTTTACAAATGCTAGAAGAAAATATATGGAAAACACTTCAGTATGTAGGCAGTAACTTCCTGAATAGAGCCCCCTAGAGCTCAGAAAATAAGAGCAACAATGGATAAGAGAGGGTGCATCAAACTGAAAAATTCCTGCATAGTAAGTGAAACACAAAACAGTAAGAAGTGGTAGCTTCCAGAAATGGAGAAAAGCTTTGCCTGCTACTCTTCTGACAGAGGATTAATATCCTAAAAATATTAATGCAAATATCTTAACACCAGAAAAACAAAAACCTTTTCAATAAATGAGCAAATGCACATCTAGTTCTCAAAATAAGAGATACAAATGGCCAAAACTTCAGTGAAAAAAAAAAAAACATAACATCTTGATCAATCGAGAATATGCAAATCAAAACAGCATCAAGCTCCCATTTTCCACCATTCAAAAAAGCAAACATCAAGAAGGCAAATAATACTGGGAAGATGAGGAGAAAAATCTCTTATATGTGAATGGCAGGAACATAAATTACTATATCCCTATGGAAATTCATATGAAGGCTACTCAAAAACTGAACATAGAAATACTTTATTATTCAAATATACTACTCAGTACTTACTAGAAAATATTAAAGTCAGCTTATTTTAGAGATATACATATGCCCATATTTGCCATGACACTATTAATAATAGGCAAGTTATAGAAGCAGGCTAGATGCTAGTTAATAAAAGAATGGATAAAGAAAATGTGGTATATATACACAAGGAAGATTTCTATGCACAGAGAACAACAAAACTAAGTTAATTTTAGGAAAATGAATGAAACAGGGAAGCATAATGTTAAATAATATAAGCCAGACTCAGGAAACAAGTATCATATATTTCTCTCACAAGTATCATATATTTCTCTCACATGGAAAACTAGAGGTGGAAATGTTCAACATAAAAATAAATGAATAATAAATTTTAACCATTAGCATATATAAAATTGGGAGTTGGAGGAAGGAATGTTAAAGATAGCATTAGGGGAGTATATTTGATCTATATGTATGTAAAAATATGCCAATGTGAAAATTCTGTATAATTAATGTGTATCAATTTTTAAAAACTGATCATCTTTTTTAATTTTTAGAAGTTCATTTAATTTTCATTTATCATGTTCATTACCACTATTACTCATTTGTTTGGATTTGCATTTTTTAAAAGCAGTACTATTTATATACACATATATATTTATTTTATTGATTTCTTTTTAGTTATATGTGAGAATAGAGTCCATTTTCATATACTCCAACAAGCACTGACCATCAACATATTAAGTCTATATTAATTGTTACTAAATATAAATTACTTGAAGCTTTAATAGGAACAGAAACAAAGAATAATTTCTTAAGCATCTAAAATATGCCACATTTATTTGCTTATTTTTCTATTCATTATAATCACAAATGATTGTGATTGTAATCCCACACCCTGCCTCCCAGTCATTCAAGGATGTCAAGAGTAAGTAATAGACAAATATAACACATTATTCTATTGTCCATCATGTACTTCACCTAACATTCCTATGTTTGGCCTAATATTGAGTTGCTACTCTTTATAATTTCAATATTTCTTATTTTAAGTATCAGCTATCTTGACTGTCTTATTCAATCTGGATACTTGACTTTTCCTTCATAAATGAATTCTTTGTATGCATCCACTTTTCTCAGCTTCATATTCATAAAGCTGTTCTTTTTCCTTCTTTTCTATTTCTTTCCTTCCATAAGGGCACACTGAAGAACTGTTTATTCCCACCACTTTCTGGCAATATTAATTCTATACATATACCTCACCTGTTGCTCTCCTTGTTTTCTACTATAACCTTGTAACCTTATTTCTTTCTAGCATGTTTTTCTTCTGGGAAGATGATATTTTAAAAAAATGGGAAGATTTTTTTAACACATAACCTTTGAGTCAGGTGATGGAATTTAAGGACAATCATTCTTTATTCTGATTGCCTGCACAAGTGTGGTTTCAAGTACTTCCTTCTTTCGACTAGCAGGTTTACTGTTGTCAGGTACATTTCCACTCTTTTGATTCCCAGTGTCATATTTTACTTCTGACAATAAAAACAAAATAAAGAGTATATAAAAAATCTGTAATTTAAAGTCAATAAGCAGCACGATTTCAGGCAGTCTTCAAATAGCTTACCATCCTTCATGGATTGTCTGGAAGCTTCAATTAATTCTCCTCCTTTTTCTGGGATGTTCTAGGAAAAAAAAAATAAGGGATAATAAGAACCAAAGATGGCAAAATAATTATTGTTCTCCACTACTGTAGGGTACAACAGAATAAGCATTCTGATGTATACTCAAACTGCAATTCTCTCACTTAGTAAGCTATTGGAATAAGGATAAGGAGCCATGACAGAGAGATCCCCAAAATGTCACTCCCCTTGCCTACAATTGATTTTTACACAAATAGTGAAATCCATTATACTATATTCTTAAGCTGAATGATGTAGAATAAAAATTGTAGCCATCTTTATTTAGACTACTTTTGAAAAAGACTAACAATATGAGAAATTATATGTGATATTTTAATGTGTTTTTATGACTTATATTGGAATGAATTACCTCTTGAGGGGAAAGCTCATAAGACATGAGCTTTTAGAATTATCTATTAAAGAAGATTGATTGGATTCATAAACAGTATAAGTTTTGTCCATCTTATGCATTAAATAGCTAAAGATAAATAATTACACAAATTTTGATGCTTCCAAAAAAGATAAATGACAAAAAAATCTTGTGGGGGTTGTATCAATGAATAATAACCACACAGAGCTGCTAAATAGAAACATTGACTCAATAACCAAACCACAATGACAGAGATGGAACAATGAATAGACACTGAAGAGATGTTTTCTGCAGGGAAATATTAAGTATTAGAGTAAGTCATTGTATTAGAAAGGGAGACATGTTCTTTTTTATTCCATTACCTTCATATAATTAAATTAACAATACAATAAGATATAAAACAATAAAATATTTCTTAATAAACCAGGTGCTGCTGCCACAAAATTAAAGTCATTACAGGTTTGCTTGACATAGGTAACAAAAGACAGTGGAGTAAGTCATTTTTTAAAAGACAAGTGAGAAGGAAGAAACTAGCAAATTTTCATCTGAAGTCCAAATCTAAACTCAAGTTTGGAGAAGGCTTGGAGGATATTCTTATTACTACTAACATATTTATGACATTACTCTAACTTGTTTATTCTTCCTTTATGGCATCAATTTGAGTTACTCAAAACTTTCACATCCCATATATTAAAAGAGAATGCAAACTTAAAGCATATTTTTTAATTCAGTAGACCTAATTACTAGTTATCTCATGCATATTATACTACTTAAGACATTTCAGCAAGTAGACATTTATTTTATCCACATTTACTCATGTTCAACACTGTATACAATACCAGCTTTTAGAAATGGTGCATTTCTCCAGGCCAAATGAGCTCAGTTGAGTTATAAATAATACCAAAATAGCATTTTAAATGGAACACAGAATGATAACTCTATATTTTTATCTCCCAGTTAAAAATTACACCCTTGTTACTCACATAATATTTAGCTCTTCATAACTGAAATAAAATTAAAGTCATTTAAAAAATGAAAGATATCTTTTACATTTAACCTTATTTTAGCTTCTCCAGGATATTTGCAAATATATTTCCTAACCTGGAATAGTTCATGAAAATAGTGTTTTATAGTAAACATTAAAGTAAGTAAATACAGAAACATCTAAAATTTGAAATTTCAAAATTTGACATAGAAATTAGATATTTTAAGAAACTATAATGGAAAAACAACAATTCTGAAACTAAAGTATTACCATACAATTATTGAGAGTTTCTGCTTCTGGAACTGGTTATTACTTTGCACACACCATCTATTCTTTGATTAAATGAAGAGTAAATTTTTAGAAAATTTCATTACCTCAATTTTTTTTAGATATTTTTTTGGTTCTTTTCAGTTATACATCAAAATAGAAGTTATATACTAGAATACAATTATAAAAATATAGAATATAATTTGTTCTAATTCAGGACCTAGTACTTCCTTCTGTTCTTCCAATCTTTCTGCTATTTATATTTTTTTTTAGTTACTGTCACTTTTAGTGGAAAGACTCAAAGTATGGATATGCAAGCCATTTTTAATACAAGTATTAAGATACAGATTCTAGATTTCTGGGTTGCCATAATTCCCAATATTACTTTACTATAAATATGGAGCCACAGAAAGAAATAGAGAATATAGGTGTCCTCAAATGCTATGATACCAAAATATCAAGGGTCCAAGTAAAAAAAGAAAAGTTATGTGCAATGTATATTATATATTCCAAACTAAAGGCACCAGGGAAATTCCACAATTCTATAAAAATTAATTTAGGCATGAGTATTGTAAGTCATGTAAGAATGATTTAAAAACAACAGTAATGAAAATTGATACAAAAAAATCCTTGAATAAATATTATATTTCCTCTACAGTTAGAAAGCTCTTTCTAATGCAATTTTTCTTTCACTATGTATTTCACAGCCCATTGTTACTTCCAGCCCCCATGATCCCCAAGTACTTTAGAGAACAGTGGTACAAAAAGCATTTATAAAAAAAAAATCAACATAATTCTTTAAAATGAATTCTTAGCAAATATTCATATACAATATAAGAAAAACTATAGCTAAATTTTCAGCATTAAAATCTTAAAACAAAAATTCAGAGCAAGAACATCAGGTTTTTTACAAAAGATCACGTTACCTTAATATGAGCTTCATAGCTGCCCCCAACCATTGAAAACAAGGAAGCACCTGAGTGTGATTTTTTGATAGATATTTAAAGCAAAAATGTATAACAAAAATGGTGAATAGTTTTCTTTTTAAAATAAACTCTGCTTAATTTAAGGCATAACTTATTAAATGGTGTTTCTTTTTTTAATTTTTTTTATTGGTTGTTCAAAACATTATAAAGCTCTTGACATATCATATTTCATACATTAGATTCAAGTTGGTTATGAACTCCCAATTTTACCCCAAATACAGCTTGCAGAATCACATTGGTTACACATCCACATTTTTACATAATGCCCTATTAGTAACTGTTGTATTCTGCTACCTTTCCTATCCTCTACCATCCCCCCTCCCTCCCCTCCCATCTTCTCTCTCTACCCCATCCACTGTAATTCATATCTCTCCTTGTTTATTTTCCCATTCCCCTCACAACCTCTTATATGTAATTTTGTATAACAATGAGGGTCTCCCTCCATTACCATGCAATTTCCCTTTTCTCTCCCTTTCCATCCCACCTCATGTATCTGTTTAATGTTAATCTTTTCTTCCTGCTCTTCCTCCCTGCTCTGTTCTTAGTTGCTCTCACTATATCAAAGAAGACATTTGGTATTTGTTTTTTAGGGATTGGCTAGCTTCACTAAGCATAATCTGCTCTAGTGCCATCCATTTCCCTGCAAATTCTATGATTTTGTCATTTTTTAGTGCTGCGTAATACTCCATGGTGTATAAATGCCACATTTTTTTTATCCATTCATCTATTGAAGGGCATCTGGGTTGGTTCCACAGTCTAGCAATTGTGAATTGTGCTGCTATGAACATCGATGTAGCAGTATCCCTGTAGTACGCTCTTTTAAGGTCTTCAGGGAAAAGTCCAAGAAGGGCAATAGCTGGGTCAAATGGTGGTTCCATTCCCAGCTTTCCCAGGAATCTCCATACTGCTTTCCAGATTGGCCGCACCAGTTTGCAGTCCCACCAGCAATGTACAAGAGTACCCTTTTCCCCACATCCTCTCCAGCACTTGTTGTTGTTTGACTTCCTAATGGCTGCCAATCTTACTGGAGTGAGATGGTATCTTAGGGTGGTTTTGATTTGCATTTCTCTGACTGCTAGAGATGGTGAGCATTTTTTCATGTACTTGTTGATTGATTGTATGTCCTTCTCTGAGAAGTGTCTGTTCAGGTCTTTGGCCCATTTGTTGATTTTGATAACAAAAATCAACAAATGGGACTTACTTAAACTGAAAAGTTTTCTCTCAGCAAGAGAAACAATAAAAGAGGTAAATAGGGAGCCTACATCATGGGAACAAATTTTTACTCCTCACACTTCAGATAGAGCCCTAATATCCAGAGTATACAAAGAACTCAAAAAATTAAACAATAAGAAAATTAAATGGTGTTTCTTGATTGATATAATTAAAATATGACCTCCAATTTAAAAAGTAGCTCGTATTCACCTCTTTCTGACTCTACTGCTGTGAATCTATAAAATATTCAATATAGATATGAAGACACTCTTAGTTCCAATTCAGAGCAATAGATAATACATGAGCAGAAACAGATAATAATTTGTTCTTGCAAATTGCATGTCTTGAAGACTGAATTTAAAACCCAAGTAATGGCTGACATTTTTTTTTTCACCTGAACTGAAACAAACCTCTGGTAACACAAGACAAGATAACAAGATGCACAGTTCTCTCTCGTGAATATCCAGGAGTCAAATACTAAGCAATGTTGTTCTTCAGCATGGAAATCATCAATAATAATACACTATTTATTCCCTCTACCCACAAATAATGCACAGAGTTCTCTGGAACTTTAAAATTTTGAAAGTTAAAAAGTGAATATATGTTATTTAGAATACCTTTGTCAGAAACATTGAAATAAATTATAAAATTGATTTTTCCTGTATAGGTCCCACTTTATTCAGGTCCTCATAAACTAGCAAGCCATTTAAAACTTTTACAGGCACTCAGACACTCAGGGGTAAAGACTGCCAGAAAAGCAGAGTCTTGGTATTTGTACCTCTGTTTCCCCTAGCTATTATGTAAATATTCAACTTCCTCTGGGAATCCATTTCCCAGTCACTCATCTGAAAAACTCAGTGGCAGTCTCTAAACTTGAAATGTACATCCCTTGAATATTCAGATTCCTGACACAAGGTTAAACTAAATGGAGTCTCAATCATTAGCCTGTCTGAATACCTTTCCAACTACTCAACTGAAGCTTTGTAATAACTTTCCCTGCCAATCACTCCTGTGCCCAGCACTACATGTACATTTTAAGGACATCAGCAATTTGGAAAGAAAGTGAAGGTGAATGAAAACCTGTTTTGTGCCACAGATCTATGTATTCTAACAATTTCCACAGTCTGTTTCACTAGTCTCTAATCCATTCTTGCATCACAGAGATGAAAACAGGCAAAATACAAGCTA